CTCCAGGGGCAGGCTGTATTTTCTGAAAAATGGGACTATGGAGCAGTAGGCTTTTGTTTTCGTAACAACTAGTTGTCGAAAAAATGTGCTTTTGATCCATTTTTTTAACTATTGGTGTTTCGTAATAATGATCTGCCATAACAATGGACTGGTTAAGAGCTATTGGCAAAGACAATGAGTGATTTGATACTGACAAATATCCTCCTCCATCCACAGGGCTGTGTTCTCTTACCCGCTGCTTTCCTTTACAGTACCAATTCATCAATACCGCCCTGCCCTGGTTGGACGCCAGAGAGTACTGCAGAGGCCGGTATACCGACCTGGCCACCGTCTACAACATAGAGGACATGAAGCGGCTGATGAACTCCACTGGAGGCTTTACGAAGATGGCCTGGATTGGGCTGCAGGATAACCTCACTAGCTGGAGGTGGTCAGACAGCCGTTACAACGGAAACAAAGAGTTTGACTACAGGAACTGGGATTATGGTCAGCCTGACAACTTCCTCGGGGACCAGATGTGTGTGCAGATGTTGAGCACAGGAACGTGGGACGACTTGCAGTGCTTCCAGAGAAAGTCCTTCATTTGCTACGATGGTCAGATTTTATTAATAGATTATTAATAGTTGTGTTATCACTGCACACTGAAAAGATAGTTTTTCTCTGATCTCTCTCTTTCTTTTCCTTATCAGAGACAACCAGTAGCACGCAGCCTTTCGTTTTTGTTGAACAGGAGATGAGCTGGCCTGACGCTCAGCTGTACTGCAGGGAGCGCCACACAGACCTCGCCAGTGTTCAAGGCGAGAAAGAGAAGCAGGAAATACAATCTTTGGCCAAAGGCAGGAGCGTCTGGATTGGCCTTAATAGGTCAGCATCAAAACTGTCAATTTGTTTGATCGAAGGTGACTTACTTGGCCCCCGTGAGAGAACCGAGCCGAACCCTTGAGGGGCTCGAGTCTAGCATCTTGTTTTTATTCGTCCTGTTTTAGGAAAGCCGCTGTGGGACAATGCTGGAAAAACATACATAAACAGAAACAAAAAGAAACTGAGAGCAACTCTAAACAAACAACTCTAGGTCTACTTACTAGATTTTTAGCTACGCTAGCAGCACGGCTCGGGCAATGTGGGTCCCCTGAACCACTATTAGGTTGTAGTTTGTAGTTTTGAGTGCATTTTTGGACAAATACAGGATGAATTGCCATGAAATTTGGTACAGACGTTCAGACAAGAGAATTCAGACAGAGCTATAGAAATTTCCCAAAGTTCCCAACTTCTCTCCCAATTTCTTCTCAATGTCACTTTACAACCATGCCTTTACCCCGTCAAAATATATTCTGATATAACCAGATATATAAAAAAACATAATCGAACACCCTCCAGATTATTCATTATTGACCTTTGGTCCTCTGTCTAGGACCCTGGAATGGTCAGATCAAAGTGACTCCGCCTACCGCTACTGGAAGCAGGGACAGCCTGATAATGACGGAGGGAACCAGCACTGCACTGCCGCTGATCTGGGCAACGAAGGCCTGTGGTCAGACGAAGATTGCAGCAGGGAGCTCTTTTTTGTCTGCTATGGTGAGCGGGTCCGTCTCAGTTCTGGTGAAAGCCTCGGTGGCTAGTGGTTCTTTATTTTATTCTAAACAAACAGCACATAAATATCACCATGTATTACACTTAATTCAATTAAAGTTTTAGATATTTCTCCCTTAAGAGGTAGTTCAAATTAAAACTGTTCACAGCAGGGTCTGTTTTTCTTTTTTCTACGTTGCAGGCGGCACTCCAGTGACCCCAAACGAAATAGCTACCACTGAGGAAGGCTCAACTGCTACAGAGATTTACTCCGGTGTGTTGCTGGGAGCCTTAAAAGAAACAATCCCATTTGGATTTGTATATTACGGCCGTCTTCACAACCACTGGTCATGTCATTACAGAGATTACCCCACCTGAGCAGCCTTTTACCCCAGAGGTGGTTGACCAAACAGGACCCATGAGTGAGTTCAGTTATATGTATTTCTATCAGTGGTGGTACCGTCGCATCCTGTGAATAACCTAATGTCTCCGTTTTGCAGATGTAACTCCAAACCAGGCAGTTCTGTCTACCACTGAAATGCCCACCACTGAGGGAGACTCAAGCAGGACAGAGGTTTCATCTCAGCAATATTCAACTCCAGAGGTGGATCAGACGAGCAGTATTCCTGGTGAGGGAAACTGTGTTCACTTCACTTCACTTAGTTATTGTTCATTCATTTCGTGCCTTCGGTATCTCACAAAGGTTGTGCCAAAGGAAACCAAATTCCAGGCTTCAAAGGAAAAAGAAACCTTTGTGGGAAGTCACAGTCGACCATAAGTTAATTAAAAGGTCCAGTGTGTAGGATGTAGTGTCATCTGGTGGTGTCTTTGCAGATTGCAACCTCACTCAATTCCTCCTCCCCTTCCAAGAGGGAGACATTAGGTTATCTAGAGCCAGTGTTTGGTTGGTCCCCACAGAAGGCGACCCGCAGCGTCTGTAGATAAAAATGAATCAAAAAAACACAACATTTCTTATGTTCTGGTGATTATAAACTAATAAAAACACACTATATGAATATTATTTTCCATTTCTGACTACAGATCCTCCTAAATGTTACACACTGGACCTTCAACGACTGTGTGTGTGTGTGTGTGTGTGTTTCTAAAATCAGTAACATTAACACGGTTTGTTCTTAGAAGAACATGTGATGACTCTGCGAGTGAAGTTGAGCTCTAAGACACAACTGAGTGACGACGACATCAATGAACTGGTGAGATTCAAGTCTAAAAACACAGAATGTCCATTTTTGAATTCTTTATTCACAATTTAGATATTTTGTGAACAAACATATAAAATTATGACCTCTTCCTTGATCACAGACTAACTGTGTCAGATAGTTGCTGTTACATATAATGGTATTGAATTATCTTTAATTAAGTTCTTTGTGCTTTGTCAGCTTTACATGCTACAGAAAGAATTGCTTCTTACAAGCAACAAATTTACCTGGAAGAGAATACCGAAATGAGAAAACCGACTGACGGAGGGATGACGGAGGGATGCAGGACCGGTGAAAAGGAGAAGAAGGGGAGAGGCTGAAATCCTATAAAGGATGTAGAACTTTGTCTTTTTCTGCCTCCTGCAAACAGTTTCCGTTGTCTTCTGTGCTATTTGCAGCGTTATTGTGTTTTCTGTACTGGTTGTGTTTTCTAAATGCTGCACATTTTCTGCAATATTCTCGTGTGTTTTTTTGGTCTATCTGCATGTGTTTTCCTCCAGCCACAGAGACACACACGATGTCTGGATAGGACATTTGGTTACTGTCGGTTAATGTTTGTGTGAGCCTGGTGGGAAAGACCAGGTGCTGTTTGTCTTGTGTCACAGCTCCCTCTGTTTTCAGTGAGAAATGTATATGAAATGAATGTCAATGTCAAGGATAAGGCCGTCCTTTACCTTTTATTTCAGCAGTTTTGAGGTATATTATATGAAAATGGGGCCAATAGTTACATCAAAAAGGCGGTGTGGTGGCTAAGGTGTGTTTTTGTCTGTTTTCTGAGGACAACAATCCTGTTTCTGTGTCTGGGCTTTTTTTTTCATCTTTGAGAAACATGATCAACGTAGATCTTATTATAACGTTTGATACCGACTTTACATACTTGATACTTTGAAACAGGCACTTTGTTCTGTTCTTAGAAAGTATTATAGTTCAATACCCAGTCCTTTAAAGGATTTAATATGTCCTCCACTAGATATTTATTCATAGCAGGCTTTGAAGTAAAAATGTAAGCCTCCATGTTGGATAATAAAATCTACAGAAAATGTAACAGGACAGCTAATTAACTTAAAGAAATATGAAAGATTTAAAGGATTAAGTGGACAGGAAATGAATTGGCATTATTAATAAGAAAACAGATTCACATTTGACGAAAAAATAAAGATATTAATCTGTATTAAAAAGAAGTTTATTGTATTTGTTTCTCTATTTGTTTTCTTTTACGTATTCATTATGTTTTACTTTATTGTGGGATATGGATTAGTCAACTAGTTAAGGAAGTCAAAGTTTTCAGACAGAATTGGGCACCTAAACCAAACAAGCTGGCTTCCCACAAAAGGTCACTGACATTATAACATTTATAGTCGATACATATTGTAGAAAAAACTTAATATCCATTGTTTTTTTTTGCTTATTTTTTAGAGAGAGTTGGCAAACAGGTATACAACTTCCTGTCTTTGAATGGATTTCAACATAAAGGTCCCAAAGTGGTCATTTCTCGATGGTCCAGAGTAAACCCACTATGACGCAACAACAAGAGTCGGGGGTCAGTGTGACTCTTGATTGCTGCGATGCCACAGTGTTAACCACTGAGCCACTGTGCTGCCCACTAAGGGTCTGCAACGCTTCAAACCTCCACCACCTGCAGCTGTTGGTGTGGTGGTTTATGGATGAGTGCAAAAATAAAAATAAGGCTTCCTTGGGTAGAAGAAAAGACACCAACCAGTACAGAAAAACGGTGCAAAACTCAAGCAAATTCAGAAAACGCTGCAAGTAGCAGACAGCAAAAGCACCAGAAGATATTAAAATGTCATGTACACCAGAATTGGTTGTGTTTTCTGTATTTATCTGTGTTTCCTAAATGCTGCACCCTTGTTGTCAAATTGGTGTAGATGTTCATTTGCTTGTGTTTTGTCTATTTGCACGTGTTTTCTTAAGCTGCAGTGCATTGAGGTCTCATGGTCGCTGTCAAAACCCGTCTCTCTGAACGTCGTCAACAATGCTGCTCACTGACAAAAACACACAAACACTTACATGTGGTCACGTAAGACCACATTAACAAAAGTAACGCAGTGTTGTTTACTTGTATTCGTTGACCCACCTGTGTGTCGACTTTGTCTCAGCAGATCATGGAGGGAAGATGGAAGAAACTGCTTTTCTTCGGTTTGTACTTCTTTCTCATCAACTTAGATAAATAAAATAAACACACATAAAATCAACAACATTTTAAGGATTTATTCAGAATATCCATACACGTGTTATTCATTTTGACCCTTTTTACTTGTAATTTACAGGGACATTTTCTTTCATAATGAAGATCACACAACAGACAGGTAAGAAAATGTGTTCATATCTGTCAGGTAACTTGAATGTAACTTAAGCTTGTCGAGCACTGTTGGAAATGAACAGTTGTGTAGCTTCACACGATTATACCTACTGCTGTTACACTGCTATCTCTACTACTCATATTAATAAAAATTATAATAATGATAGTAAATGGTGGAAGACATATTGTGATGTTTTACTTACGAAAGTAAGTAATACCACAGGATAACAACACTCAGTAACAAGTAAAAGTCTTACAAAAGTATTATCATCAGCATCTTTCAGTTCTGCAAGCTGATTTTTTTTTTCCTAGGATGGAAAAGGCACAATATAATAGTTGGATGGAGGAAGGAATAAGGAATACTTCACCCAAAATGTATAATTTAATGTAGTTGTCTCGCCTTACAGTCTGTGGGCCGGTGCCGACTGCAAAATCTGCTCCCCTTCTTTGGATAATGTTAATTTCATGATGATCCTAAATCCCTGAAGTCAAGCAGCAGAAGTCACAATGTGCAAATGCTATTGGCACAGTTTTAGGTTAACTTAATAATATGCAAGAGTAGGGGGTTTCGCTTTGCTCCTCAAGCACCACAACAACACTGAATTCTTGCCTGAGAGAGAGAGAGGGGATGTCACAGCAGATGGCCACAGGTGGGACTTGAACCTGTGGCCGCTGCAGCAAAGACTCTTTCTGTGCCCCAAAACATATGGATTTTGATATGATCTTTAAAGTTTTAATGATATGCAAACATTATATGCTGTTCAATGTTAAATATCTCCTTAGGCCATATGCAAAAACCCTATATATGGCAATGTGAGATGAGGAGTGACTTAGCCTTACAAACATGCAGCATATAGTTCTAACACATTTTTTTCACTCAGATATATGTGATTGTGAGTATATATGTCACATAAATAAGAGCTAAGCCTGGGCCAGAAAAAAGGTCTGGACCTCTTTCTGACATTCACTAAAAAACATTTTTAAATACCTTCTTTCATTTGTATTTTACCATTTAAACAAACTGGCCAATGCCTTTCCAGCGTGTTTAATTCCTTGGCCAAATTTTCTACCAGCATTTAGTACATGATCGAAGAAGCCATCTGACTTCTCAGCCGTGTCTCTCGCCTCACGTTCGTGCCTCACTATCAACATACGTTGTTGCTCTTCCCGTTCTATTTGTTGCTCTCTCCTCTTCCTATTAACCATTTCGTCTATACTTGCTTTCAGCCTCTCTGCTTCGATCCTCTCCCTCTGTCTTTCCTCATTCATGCGCTGCCTCTCCAACCTGTCCCTCTCTCTCTCTGCTTCTTTGTCCACCTTCTCCCTCTGTCTTTCCTCGTATATCTGCAGCCTCTCCAACCTGTCCCTCTCCCTCTCCGCTTGTCTCTCTTCCTTGTCCCTCTGTCTTTCCTCATACATCTGTTGCTCTCTCCATTCCAACTCCCTCTGTCTTCTCTCATCAATCTTCTGCATCTCCTTCTCCCTCTTCCTGAACTCTTTTTTCTCTGCTTGTCTCTCTTCTCTCTCTTGGTTTATTTTCATAATTATCTCCTGCTTCTCCCCCTTCCACTCCACCTCTCTCTTTTTCCTCTCCCTCTCTGCCTCAGCCTTTAATTCTGCAATCATTTTCTGAATTTCTCTCTCATGTTGTTCCTTAAGTTTCCTCTCCAGTTCCTCTCTTTCTTTTCGTATTTTCTCCTCGTTTTCTTTCAGGATGCGTTGTTTCTCCTCTTCGATTTTCCTCTCGGCCTCTTGGAACATCTCGTTGGTGTAGTGGCTTCCTCCGTTATTCATAACTAAACATCTGATCTTCTGGAGCAGCTCAGTGACCTGGGAGCGATTGTTTATCGTATTATTGAAGACGTGGTAGTGGCCGTTACATCTGTCCACGAGTTCCTGAAGGTCTGAGCTTTGATTCACAAAGTCCTCAATGGTGGTGCCTTGCAGTTGGTCGCCGTGCGTAAAGAGAACCATGCTGTATTTGTCTGCTGCCTGGCCAAACATTTCTTGAATCTTTTGCACCGTCTGCTTTTCCTCTTCAGTGTATCTGCCCAGCTTGATGGTCACCAGAAACACATGGGGTCCAGGAGAAGCGTAAGAGATGCACTGGCATAAATCTTTAGCTGTTTTATACTCGCTGCACCTGGTGTCAAACAAGCCCGGCGTGTCAATGACAACCACCCGTTGGCCGCCCACCATGGCTGAGGCCTTAGAGCACTCCTCAGTCATAGACACAGGACTGAACTTAGATTCGAAGCATGTTCGCCCCAGAATGGTGTTCCCAGTGGCGCTCTTCCCACTCCCGGTCTTCGCCACCATCACTATCCTCAACTCCCCATTATTTTTTCTGCTAGATCCTGTGTAGAAGAATGAGGAAGGCTGAATAAGAGTCAGGTTGTACAATGCACTCACCTCTATTTATATTTTTGAGCGTAGCATAAAGGGAGTATACGGCCTACCAGTAGGGTGCCAGGTGGTCCTCCTACTGTTTTCTAATCCACACATGAAACTGATTTGTTTATACCAATCAGTAAATGTTCAATAATGTCCCAGTGGTTGTTACTTTCATATGAGCCTGCCCTACACACACTTCAAATCATTCCAACGTTTGTGTGTTTATAATTAGCTGTGATCA